TTGATGGCAGTGTCGGTTATAGTCCTCGATCCTTCTGTATTTAAGAACGAGTAGGAAAATGTCTCATGGAGAACGCTCGAATCGACGACAATGGGGTCGAAACCGCGTCCCGACCGTCGGTTTTCGAAAATAATTAAAGTTTTACAACTTTATTATTTGTATTAAATTACTATACGTTAAACGTTCTGCATACAATTAATATCTTATTGGAGAAACTGCCAGATTAACTTATTTAGTATAAAATGTAATACAAATTAATTTTGATACAAAATTTAATATAAAAAACAATTAATAACATCAGCGAGTTTTATTGACCGTGTCTGGCAATTAAAATTCTTATTGCGAAAAATATTACCCCAGCCAGGATTCGAACCTGGGACCTCCCTCAATCCGTCACGGGCGTCTTAACCAGCGTGTTAGCTTGTTGGCCAAATATCAACGTGACATTAAATGATGTCTTCATGGCAGCTTAATAACGTAATAAAACGTAATGAGACATAATTAAAACGTCATCTGACATCATCTTGCGCTAGTTTGGATCTGATATATTGCAGCAATGTTACTGTTATATTACTGTGTAATATTTTTATGTAATATATCAGTAATATTACTGTAATATTGCAATGTATTATTATATAAATGTATTATATCAGTAATATTACTGTAATTTTATATTGCAATATGTAAAATTACTGCTATATTATAATATTACTGATACATTAATATTATGTAATATTATGTGCTATGTGGATTGTCTAACGGCAAGCGTTCCACCTGCGACATTATCGAACTGAATTCTCTTGCTTTAGAGTTATCGTTATTCATTTACTCCTTCTAAGGAATTTCTTGTCCTTTTGAAATGCCGAGTTCCAATTTCTTCTCCCTTTTGGCGAGCTATGATCGTGAACAATCGCCCGGGCATATCCTGTCCGAGTTCTCCTGACTGTCGCTGAATGGAAAGTCACCATATTTCGGGAACAATTTCCGATTATTTTCCTTTAACGACGACCGTTACTTCCAAGAAATTATGTAGAGGATGTAACGTATTTTAATTTACGATCAGTTTTCTTTTAAATCGTAAAGACGTTGCGGCCTACCCGTTAAAAAATCGACATTGTACTTTGACTTAAAAAATTAAAGATTCTTAAAGTTGTCAGTAATAAATAATAATAAAGAAATTTTTACCGACCTTTGCTGGCCCAAGTTTATCATAAATTAAAAGTGACCTTTGGTTTAGGTCCTTTTTAAGGACAATCTTTTTTTTGTTTTCCCCTCTTTTGGGACGTCGTCAAAAGGATAATCTTAAGAAAATGTAAGAAATATGTTTACCTTCAAAGTTTATGAAACGCACGCAGTGGAGCACCATTGAGAGGCACGGAGGGAAAATACTTGAAAACCGAGAAGAAAATATTAAATGCATGTCGCATAAATTATCTCGATATACAGGGTGTCTCATTTTAAATGATCCATGCAAATATCTCCAAAAATATGAAATTCAAATAACTATTCAAGGTCAAGTCAATGGCACCACCTTGTGTCTCCCTTCGAGCCAAACCAACTCTTGTTTGAAACGTTTTCTGTATCTTTCATATTTTTGGAGATATTTGTGTGGATTATTTAAAATGAGACACCCTGTATATACATTTCATAATTATACATTTTTTAAGTATCTATTTGAGTGTTAAAAAATAATAATTTGTTCAAGATTGTTTTAACGTTGCAGCAATATAAAGAATTAATGTACAAACATTAATCTAGATTCAATGTTAGAAAAGATATTTATATTAAGAATATTCTTAAAGTCGCCAGCAGTAATTAATAAATTAATAACATCGGTGATTTTTGTCGACCGTGTCTGGCAATTAAAATTCTTATTGCGAAAAATATTACCCCAGATATTGCAACGTTTCAACATTATTTTAGCTTTCTGTGCTGTATGAGATACGTTTGAAAATCTTCGTTTGATCGATTTCAGAGTAAGTAACCGAAATAATAAATACAACGCGAGAGGTACGGAGAAAAAGCAAAGAAAATATTGGAGGGGGGGGGGGAGGGCTGCGAAGTTTGGTCAATGTCAACACCTGCCGAATGTTGCCGGCGCGTGCCTGTTTCTGTTTGCGCGCTCGATTACCGTAATCATGACATCGGAATATTTTTCAGCACGAGCGAAATTGGGCAGCTCGAATATAAAGTATGGTTCTAGGGAGGTGACAGCCCATGTTGAAATTCTCATTAAAATTTACACGAGACTCGAGCTACAACGTAAAAAATAAAAATTACAATCTATAGACGAGACGTTATACAGGATATCCTCAAATCGACTGAAAACGAAGGAGAGAAAGAGGGGAAACCGGCGAGGTCTCGTAAAAAAAAAAGCGAAGAAGTTACAACAAACTCCCTTCGCGCAAGTCCGATTTTCGGGATACAATTCGCCCTGCGCACGAGAGATATCGCGTTATCTAATGGATATCACGGCGGGACGTTAATGAGCGACGATCGTTAATTATATCCTAGTGGAGTAATCGCGCCGGGAAGTATCGCGGCGCCACGATTACGTCGCGAAGCCTGCAATTTCGCGGCGTTATCGCTTTATAAGCGCACTCGGAAATCTTCGAGGGGCGCACGCAGAGAATCCTGCACGGGTAGGTGCGCGGCGGTAACGTCAGTAGACCGTATGGACCTTTGCGCGGTAGGCAGGGGCCCAGATGGCAAGCGCCCGGTACCCTTGCAGTTTTTGACAGCGAGTCCCGAACGACGCCGCTCCTCGCTGCCACCTGCTGCAACGCGTAAATCAGCCCGGCTCGTTAAACGCCACGATTTTCGACAGATACGAGCGCAATTCCGATGACAGATCCCTCTCGATCGCGCGATTAAATTATTCGCTTCGCTACCGCGATTGGGCTCGAAATTCCGGAACTTTCGTCTCCCCCCCCCCTCCCCCCCTCTCTCTCTCTCTGTCCATTTTACAGTATTCTCATTTTGTATTTATAAGTGTAGAATTATTATAGTTGGCAATATCCACGTTTATTTCTATCAACACCGATCAATTTTAATCCAGGTAGCACAAAGGCAAACGGGAGTTTCCAGTAAACACCGAGCATCGGTTACATTGCATTTATGTTACAATTTCTCACTCGATGTAAAGCCAACAGCGCGCGATACTATTGTCGCTATGCAGAGTTTCTAGATCGGGTGGCTTAGGGCTAAATTCTGATTGGCTCTCGTAAGCCGGTAGGAAAAAAAAGAGTATCGTGTGCCGTTAGCTTAAATGTAATATAACACATGTGTGTTGCGTCAGAAATTATAACGTAAATGCAATGTAACCGATGCTCGGTGTGCACTGGGCTAGTGAAGAATTCATTTCAATGAAATACCAACGGAAATAGAAAACCGGAATGTCGGAAGTGTTCTCAAAGAATTGGCCACGGCCCAGCGGGAAACGACTCGTCGATCGACGTCGACTCGACGTCGTTTCGACGAATTGTTCCTCATAGGGAAACAGTTCGTCTTGAAGTATCCATCAGAAATTCATTGCGGTACGTACATGTAACTTCCCCGATCATTCTTATTGTATTCTTGTATGATTTCCTGAAGAATTGCAATTCAGAAAGGCAAGAAACCTAAGGAATACTTAGCGAATTTACTGTGCCATCTGGGAATCTTGGTTTGGCTTATTATTCACCTTCTTTTTTTCAGATCAAAGAAACGTAGATATTGGAGCCGCACTTATAAAATCCGGCAATATTCATACGATTGTACTTATATAATTTTGAAATTACGCTTCTAGAAACGAACAGCCGAGTTCGACCGTGCGTATTTGTAAACCAGTAAATATCGACAATGTCGTCGACAACGTGCCCGTCATTCTAACACACTGACAAATGTATACAATGTAACACGAGGATCAGGGATCGGGAACGATTATCGCGTTCGCTCGGGATTTATTCGCCTTCTCGAAGGCGCCCCTACTTCGTTATGGAATCTCTCTTCCTCTCGAAAGAGGAGAACGCGCCTTCTGTACATTCGCGTCCGATCGATCGCGCGCAGATCGTTTCTCACGCTTTGATTTTGTTCCCTTGTCGCGTAACTCGTCTTTCCACGTGTACACGCACGACGGGAAAGGGGGACGCAGAGGGAATCTCGCAGGCAGGAAGAAACGTGCATTACGGGGCTGAAGAGAGATAGAGACGTTGAGAGAGAGAGAGAGAGAAAGAGAGAAAACGACATCGGGAGTATTGAGTTGCAGCGGAGAGAGCATTTAGGAACGATCGCTCGCGCGCGGCCATGCGATGTTACAGTTCGGTACGGGTTTGAAAAGATCTTTGTTCGAGCGTCGGAACGCGAGGAAGTGGGCCTCCGCGCGCGCGCGCGCGCGCGAGCTCACGCTCGGGCGTGTGCGCGTGTAAAGCGAGCGCACGCTGCCGGAAGTCGGAACGTGCATCATAATGCCTCTGGGTGCGCCGCGCCCGCCCGCCCGTCCGCTCGCTCGCTCGCTCGCCGGCTATTTCTCGCTTCACTGGCAAATAAAAACAATATAGCGAGCTCTCGGTTTGGTGGCCCGGCGCCGCCTCGCTGGAAAGTTGCGGCCGCGAATTGCTTTGCCCATCGCGAATCCAACATGCCGACCGGATTTTCGCCGCAGTCCCGGCGTGCCGCCGCGCGTTTTCCGTGACTCAACGAAAATCCAGAGCCGGTTTTTTTTCACGCGCAAATTTGAAGCGGAAAGGATGCGGTTTATGCCTGTACGGTCTCTATCTTACCGACCTAGGACGCGGTTCCCTACTTTACCGACGCGCGGTACATATCACTACTTGGCCGATGGATGACGCCACTAGTCAGGCGCTTTATAGATCGTCTATCGAGAACACGTTTCCTGCCTTACATACCGATGATTCGAACGATCCCCTTCATTTCGATAATTTCATTGATAGGTTATACGACTTACCACTGACCGCGTTACGCGGATTGCATGTGAAATTTAACAGGATGTCGGGGATGGGACCTCAGAGCCTTTCACTTCTGGGTGACACGAGTCTCTTAATTGAGCCTGTGCCGTGATGACGGGGCCGGACAACTCTTCCACGTATTTTACGATCACGGGGCGGAGCTGAGGAACAGTATTTGGACAAATGGCAATGTTTACATTATGTAATCTGAAAAAGAGTACCAATCAAACTCGCAAGGACGCTCGTTGCCTCGAAATTAAATTGCTGCGCGTAATCTGCTTCCTGAATCTCGGAAATCCCCAACTATTTGCGTAACAGTCCGTCATAAGCCGAGTGTTAGAGACGCGAGCGATCTACAAACGCAGCGAGGATCGTAAAATTGAGTTAAATTTAGACAAATTTGAAGGCAATCTTACTCTACATTGAAAAAAGAAACATGACTGAAAGCAAGGACAATACGGTACGCGTGGTGTTTGTATCCTTGCTACTGGATCTCCTGGCGTTTACAATGATACTGCCGCTGCTACCAGCCCTCTTGGACCATTACAAAGAAATAGAAAAGGGACACGGACTGTATTCGACTATTTTGAACTGTATGAAGAGTATACAGATTTTCTTTGACGCACCAGATAAAGTCAGCACAGTTCTATACGGAGGTTGGGACTTGTACTTGAAAAAAAAAACTATAAATCTTCTATTACACCATTTTAAAGTTCTCTTACTTTGCAGGTTTTTTAGGCTCTATGTATTCCTTCTTGCAATTCCTGGGATCGCCAATCATCGGAGCATTGTCAGATATTTACGGACGAAAGCCTTTGATGTTACTTTGCTTGACCGGCATTTCGCTCTCTTACCTGTTATGGGCATTGTCTACAAACTTTGGTATATTTGTTCTGGCTAGATTTGCGGGCGGTATCAGCAAGGGTAACATCAGTCTGTCAATGGCTGTTATCAGTGACGTTACTTGTTCAAAAACAAGAGGAAAGGCAATGGTAAAGAAGTAGATGAATGAGCATATAACGCGCTCACTCATGATGGTATAATCACATTTAGGAGAAAGTCCTCCATTATGAGACACAGGGTCCTAACAGCGGAGTTAGCGGAGTTTCTGTTAAATTAATAGGCATCATCAGTTGAGTCCACCATGAATTTATTGCTCTTGGAGCGAAATCTGTTTAGTAGAAAATTCATTGTTGGATTGTGTCATCGTGAAAAGAGATTTGTCATTGAATTTGGATGTTGAAAACCTGCTGTCTCATAATAGAGGACTTTCCTCTATATAAAGTAAATTTCTAAATCGCACTCTTCTCTCATTCTTGCAGGCACTTGTGGGAATAGCCTTTTCCATTGGTTTTGTCGTGGGACCAATGATAGGTGCGTTTTTTGCGTGGATATCCAGTGGCAATAGAGAAGGCACGTGGTACGTGATACCAGCTCTGTTCGCGCTCTTCCTTGCCCTGAGCGACTTACTTTTTGTCGCTTACTACCTGAAGGAGAGTCTGTCGTTGAAACACAGAGCGACTACTTTGGCAAAAGGATTATCCGGAGCAATTTCCTACATCAATCCCGTCGATCTCTTCCAATTTAATGGGGTGCTGAACTTGAATCGGCAAGGTATTCTTGTATTTTCCGAAACTAGAGGGTCAATTCTGTATCTTACACTATAGTAAATATGCTAACAGTGAATTACTTTGTCTCTTTCTAACCGTTCCTTTAAAAAGAGACAAAGCCGCTCACTCTTAGCATTTTAAACAATATAAAAAACGATTCTCTCTTGCGATACATTTCTACAATTTACATGCAACAAATTATATTGTAACATTGTCGAGTTGTAAGCGGCAGAAAAATTGTGTGAATTTTAACGCGCAGATTTTGCTTTCAGATCAACAAGATTTGAAGATATTGGGTCGGGCGTATTTTATATATCTTTTCATATACAGCGGCCTTGAGTTCACTCTGACGTTTTTGACGCATCATACGTTCGGATTTACCAGCATGCAACAGGGTTGGATGTTTCTCGGGATTGGACTGACCATGGCAATTTTACAGGGCGGTTGGGTGCGGCACATTCCCCCGAATAGAACAAAAACTGTCAGCGAGCTGGTAATCCTTTCTTCAAATCAGTCTCCCTATACATTGCTCCATTAGGCGACACTTGTTCATTTCAGATTTATTATAGAGAAAAATCCCCTATTATAAGATAGGCTTCTGATATGAGATAACGGAGTTTCTACTAAATTAATAGGCATCATCTGTTGGTTCCACTATGAATTTACTGCTCTTGGAGTAAAATCTGTTTAGTGAAAAATTGATTGTTAGATCGTGCAATTCGAAAGAAGATTTGCGATTGAATTTGGACGTTGAAAACCTACTATCTCGTAACAGAGGACTTTTCTCTATAGTTTTTTTTTCTATTATTTCAGGGTTTATGGCTTATCATTCCTGCATTTATATGCATCGGGGTCGCTAGCAATGTACAGGTGTTGTGCATCGGGATTTTTCTCTTCGCAGTCTGTAAGGATCGGTCGTGTCTCGATTTTACACAATTTCCGGCTTTTCTGTTTAAACGCTCATTTTGGTCTTATTGTTCTGTTTCATTGCAGCCACCGCGATGGTCGTTACATGTATGATGACTCTGGTGACGCGCATTGGACCCGAGCATCAGAAGGGCGCGATCACCGGTATATTTCGTTCACTAGGCGCGCTGGCTCGCGCCTGTGGACCCATCATCTTCTCCTCAGGTGAGTACGGGCGAACTCAACTCGTGCAAATGCTCTCGCTTCGTCGGTTCCGCTTACCTGATCGCGCGCATTCCTATTTCAGCGTTCTGGTGCATCGGGAGTGCCACGACGTATCTAATCGGGGCTCTGCTACTTACGCTACCGCCGCTGATTTTGCACAGTATGCGTACTCTGTAACATTGTGGCATAGTCAAACGTTATGCCGTCCTCTGCCTTTTTTTACTCTTAAAAGATATATTGTACAGACAGTATTTTTATATCTTTCTTACACACTTTTGCTATCGTTTTATACTGATACTTTAAAGAGGTAACTAAATACTCTGTCCGTCACGTTTGATATCTTCCCGTACAGCACGCACGTCTAAAGGATGTCTTTAAGTCGTCTTTTAGATATACATATCTAAAAGACAACCTAAAGACGTCTTCAAAGCCTAATCTATAATGTATTCTCCGCATCCAGAAACATTCCATTTTATACAAGTAAATCAAGACGCTTAAAAAATTTGCCGACAGTGTATACCACGATTGTACAGTGTGTACTACACAATTTTTTTAACGTATTTATCGACCACACAATAGAATGTTTCTAGACTCAAATAGCACATTGTAGATTAAGAAGACGTCTTTCGAGCCCGTATCAGACTACGGATTGAGATTGAGATTAGATTGAAATTTGATCAATCGGAGTAAAAGTCGCTAAACCTAAGATTAGTAAACTTTACTCCGATTGGCCACGTTTCAATCTAATCTCAATCCGCAGTCTGATATGGGCTCTAGACATCCCTGGCGAAAGTTTTAAGTGAGAGATGACGTTTATATTTATTTGTGAAGAGTTTTATCGATAGTTACATTGTTCATGAGGAGTTTTATCGACGGTTACGCCGTTTGCAAGTACGTTGCATAACACCTGGTTAATTCTTTACTGACAATAACATTTTGCAAACACTTGGAAAACTATAATGGAAACGTTCGACGTTGTATCATTAAACGCAACTTGAACACTTGTAACCATGTCATGAACAACTCCATGTTTAAATTTATATCTCACGAACAATGTTTTAAAACATTGACTCAGCAGTTAGACAAACTTCTTATAATATAAAATATATTGTTAAAAGTCTTATAATCTATAAGACTTTTAACAAACATGTTATTTTCGCCAGGGGTACGCGTTGTTTGGGCTATTAGCGATAAATGTAGCGATATCAAGAAACAATTTCTATGAAATGGATCTATTAATAGATCTATCTAGACATCACACTTGTTATTTATATCCAGCTTGTCACATACTTAAAGAACGACAAACTAGACGAATATGTACACGTGTGTGCGTGCGTGTACGCGTACACGCATACAACGAAAGTATTTGTTATTGTATTATATTTTATATACATATTCTATACATAAAGTTTGTGATATATACATCTATAGTCGCGCGTTACACGCGTACAATTTGACTTGCAGTTGTAAGAGCTTGATATTATTCTGACATTTTAATAAATGAAACATTTTACACAGCCACGCGTGGGCGCGCCTTATTCTACGTTAAAATTTACAACCGTCCAACGTAATTCCCGTGTCAGCGGGTTTTCCCCACTATCGCACTTTCTACACTTTCTTTCCCCGAAGTCTCAAAGGCCAAACTGGACGGATTTGCATAACGAGACGCGAAACAGCGCGGGATAAGCGGCGGTTTATCGATAAACGGCCGGGGCTCCGCCGGATCTCCCTCGTTTACCAACAATTTTATTTACGATTCGCGCGCGCCGTTATCTCCGCTGGAGGAGCGCGGACGCGGAGGAGCGCGGACGCGCGAGGAAAAACGGGCGGGCTCGCAGGAAAAACGGAGCCGTCGGTCTGGCGCGCGCGGGGTTTATCGATAAATCACGGCGCGCGCGCGGACACGGGCCGCCTGGCGCGCAGGTCCGGCCGCGGCCACGTGACCGCCCCCACTCCCACGGTCGGCCCCCACCGCCGGCCGCCGGCGCCGTTTACGGTAGGAAATTCTGAGAATTTCTACTCGTGTCGGTTCATTCCGTCGTCATCCGCGCCGACCGACGGTGGCCGACGGCCTGTGATGTACGCGGCCGAGAGGACGGCCGAGGGAGCGGATTGGAGCGGAAGCGGCGGGTAGGAGGACTTCTTCGGGGTGTAACATTCGGGAGAAGGGACAGGCTAGGCAGGCTCCCCGTACGGGCGTTATCGATGGCAGCGCGGGTGTGAGTCGCAATTGCACGGCGATAATTGCTTCTTTCCGCGATTATTGCGCGGCCAGTGCGGATTGTGGCTGTCGCGTCGCGCGTCAGCGATACGCTCAAGGTCGCCGGCGCGGGACAACAACGAGGAGGGACGAGCGGAGCTGCGATAGCGGCGGCGGCGGTGGCGGCGGCGGCGACGTCGACGACGGCGACGGCGGCGATTCATACGCACGCCGTGCGTGTCTATTGCGTCGCGTAACGTCCACGCCGGGAAACATCTGTTCCCGAAGACGAGCGTATCAGGTGAGTCGCCGAGTTTCGCTGAATTCCAGAGCGGTTCCTCCTTCGCTCTTTGCTCCCGCTGTTCTTACCCCGCCTCCTTCCCCGCTTCCTCCGCCATCCCTCCCCCTACTCCGTCGCCGCCTTCCCGTTCCCCCCCCCCCGCGTTCTTATCTATTTGCGCGTTATGTCGCGCGATACGCTTTTTTTTCGCTTCCCCTCTCCGGGCGGTCCGGGCGAGCGAGCGAGCGAGCGAGCTTTTCGTCCCGAGGCTCCTCGAGAATCGCGCGACGTCGGTCCACCCGGGTTTGCTACTCCGCTACCAAACTTGCCGTTTACGCGCGCGCAGCGCGTTCTCCGTCGTCCCTTTCGAAGTTTGGAGCGCGCGTCCTCGCCGCCGCTCGGCGAGTCCGCGCGCTCGCGACCAATTGTCGCCGACGATGAAAATTAATCGGCGAGATCGCGCGGCCTCCTCTTCTTCTCGCCGTCGCGTGTAATTGCGGGCGCGATTGCCCGCCCGGAGCCGCGCGGAGGCCGCGCGATCGCGCGAAGTTTCCCCCGGGACGCCCCGACCTTAGCGGCCGCGAGTCATCGATGATCCGAGCGATATATCGGATTACGTAACGTTCGCGTGTCACCGTTTATTTTGTATGCCGGGACTCTGAAATCTTCCACGCGGACCGCAACGCGGAAAGAAACGCTCGCGTGGATCTATTTATAATGATATTCTTTTGTCGGCGCGACCCGCCGAGCGGCGAGGCGCCGTCGCACGTTTTCCGGGACCGTCCGGTTTGCGCGCCGGACTTTTTTCCGGACTCGTCCGACCAGCGACGGGCGGCGGAATCGCCCGCGTCTACGTCGTCTCCGATTTGAATATCCCGTCGCGTCGATGAGAAATTAATCGAGGATCGATACGAGCGGCACGATTGCAGAAACTCCACCTCGTCGTTTCTAATTAAAATACCCTTCTCTTGTCGTCAACGAGCTTCATCCGCGTTGGGAAAAGTACCGTCGTTGTTTAACTTGGAGTCTAGCTTACTTCGTTCTTCGCCTCTTTCCAGCTTGTTACCTTGGAGAGAGACGAACGTGAATTAAGACCTGCGTCCACGATGCTAGAACTTGGTCCAAGTTCCGAGAAATGTATAGCCAATCAACTTGCAACTTTTATGGAATAACTGCAAGCTGACTGGCTACACATTTTGTGGAACTGGAACTTGGGCCAAGTTCTAGCATTGTGGACGCAGGTCTTTAAACCAACAAGTTGAGCGACGTTTGGGCCCAACTCGCCGATTAATACCTGCGACACTTGATTCTCTTTTTTCTTTTTCGGAACGAGTGTGGAATGAATTTTTGCATGACACACGGAGAGGAAAGATTAGATTAGCGACGACGATTAGCGATGATGAATGTACTTGGAATTTCAGCCCGCGCGTGGTGCCGCCTGCGAATTAAAGTCGCCGATTAAATTGATTCAAGTTTCGGCCGGAGTCAACCATAAGATTCGAGTGCTGACCCCTCGGACGGAGCATCCGATTGATGTAACGTAACGAGAACTTTGTTTGCGTCAGAGAGATTACAACTGTCTGACAAAATGGCGCTGTGGCTGAAAGCGCAGCAACTGTCGCAGGATTCGTTGCAAAAGGTGCGCAATATATACGGTGAACATTTCCCGATCGAAGTGAGGCACTTCCTGTCGTCGTGGCTGGAGGAAAAGATGTGGTAAGCGCGACATGTGAGCTCGAGGGCGGGCGCATTCTCGCCCAGTCGCTCTCAGACGTAAAAGAGTTGCTATGATTTCATCGTTAATGTTTCAGGAATAACGTAGACACGGAGAACCCGCAGTTCGAGCACTACGTAAACAACTTTGTCGGATCGCTGATACTCGAGCTGGAATCGAAAGCAAACACCCTTACCACGGAAGATATGTTTGTAACGAAGATGAAATTGATAGAGGCTGCTACCATGTTCCGAGTGAGTTACACGTCGTGTCGCGTCCCGCGCGTTTATATCTTGATTTATAAAACTGTCGCTCATCCCCCCCACCCTTGTTTTGCTGCAGCAAAAATACACGGAGAATCCGATGATGTTGTATAAAATAATTAGACACTGCTTGGGCACGGAGATGAAATTGGTGGCAGAAGCGGAACATTTAGGAGGTTTAATAACCAATGACAGGGTCAATTTGATGATAGGCGACACAGTTACGGAAATAGCTCATCAGGTCGATATATTGCGGCGAAAGACGTACGAGACCGGGGAGGACTTGCGAAAGATCGAACAGGAGCAGGAGTCTTTCGCTCTCAGTTATCACGAGTGCACGAAACTGAATGCCCATTTGCAACATATCACTATGCAGGTGCAGAACCAGCAGAACATGGAACTGGGGAAAAAGATTAGGAGGTAAAATTATTGTTTACAATTTAAGAGACGTAGCGTATATTAAATGTATAAAAATCTCCGTTGTTACACATAACAATTTGAAAGATTTTCAAGTTATAATGTATGTAGACAAAAGGAGCAGCAGGACCTGCAACTGAGTCAAAAGGTTAACGGCGTGGTTCGCCTACGTTTGATGCTCATGGAGAAACTGGACGATATTATAAAAAAGTTGAACATTCTGCAATCGAGGATTCTCGACGACGAGCTTATAAGGTAAAGCGCCGACGTGGATAGTAAGATATTTACCTCTCTTCCTCTCGTCGAGCAATTGACAATCCTGATTTTTCGCCTAGATGGAAGAGAGATCAACAACTGGCTGGTAACGGTGCAAATTTCGCGTCCAACAATTTAGACTCGATTCAGGAATGGTGCGAGAGTCTCGCCGAGCTGATCTGGCAGACACGGCAACAGATCAAGGAAGCGGAACGCTTGAAGCAAAAGTTCCAGTGCGAGCCACCAGGCATACGAGATACTCTCCCGAGTTTGAATACTCAAATTACACAATTTCTCAGCTCGCTTGTGACAAGTACCTTTATCATTGAGAAACAACCACCGCAGGTCATGAAGACCAACACTCGTTTTACGAGTACAGTGCGCCTACTTGTCGGAGGCAAATTGAACGTTCACATGACGCCGCCGCAAGTAAAGGTGAGCATAATTAGCGAAACACAGGCAAACGCTTTGCTGAAAAGCGAGAAGATGGCAAAATGCGGCGAGGTCAGCGGCGAGATTTTGAATAACACTGGCACAATGGAGTACCATCAGGTGCGCGATACTTTACATTCATTATTAGATGTACGGGTAGAGAAAAATATTTTGCGAGACGTCGCCTTTAATATCGATTCGAAGCTTAAAAGTACCATTTTGCAGGCGACGAGGCAACTCTCGGTGAGTTTCCGCAACATGCAACTGAAGAAGATCAAGCGCACGGAGAAGAAGGGCACGGAATCCGTGATGGATGAGAAATTTTCATTGCTGTTTCAATCGCAGTTTTGTGTTGGCGGGGGCGAATTAGTATTTCAAGTTTGGACCCTGAGCTTGCCCGTGGTCGTGATAGTACACGGCAACCAGGAGCCGCATGCATGGGCTACGGTCACTTGGGACAACGCGTTCGCCGAACCAGGTAGACAGCCGTTTCAAGTGCCGGAGAAAGTGCCGTGGGCACAAGTGGCGGAGGCGTTGAACATGAAGTTCCGCTCGGCGACCGGTCACCCTTTGACCGAGGACAATCTCCGATTTCTCGCGGAGAAGGCATTCCGAAGCAATGGCAATTCGGTTGGTCAGGATTATTCGAACATGCTGCTGAGCTGGGCGCAGTTTTGCAAAGAGCCGCTACCCGAAAGAAACTTCACCTTCTGGGAATGGTTTTATGCCGTTATGAAATTGACCAGGGAACATCTGAGGGGTCCGTGGATCGACCGATACATCCTCGGATTCATCCGGAAGAAACAAGCGGAAGAGATGCTGGCAAACTGCGCGGTTGGCACCTTTTTGATGCGTTATTCCGACTCGGAGCTCGGTGGTATTACTATTGCCTGGGTCGGAGGTAAAGTATTCAAACAAAACTAACTTGATATACACTCTGGGAGAAGTTTTACACGAGAGGATACGTAACCAGTCATTTTATAACGTTATTAGATCAAGCAGCAGCCGAACATGTCTTCATGCTGCAGCCGTTTACTAGCAAAGACTTTGCTATTCGAAGCTTGGCCGATCGTCTTGCCGATATGCAACATTTGCAGTATCTCTATCCAGATATCACTAAGGATACTGCCTTCGGCAAATATTATACTCCATTCACAGGTAAATATAGTTGACTAATTTTATTCTTGCTTTTTGCGATTAATCGATAATAATAAAACATTAATTTCCACAGACAACCAAACTCAAACGTCAAACGGATACGTCAAGCCATATTTAGTGACCCATGTGCCAGGTTGGGGCACTCTGCCCGGCATTGGTGGTCAAACGCCGTCCCACTCGTCCGTAACAGGTATGAGCAACAACGGTCAGAGCGGCCCGGGTGGAAGTTATCCTGCCACACCGCAGACTGTGTTTCAACCGCATAGTCCACCAGATCCATCCACGCGGGATACTCCATCCGTAGCATCAAGGTCAGTCTCTTGGATGTAATATCGGATCGGTGATGATTTTCACCTGATATTTCGACTAAATCAATTGTGAAATATCCAGATATCGATATGCCTTTACACTTGGTACTTTGTTATCCTTGAGACACGAATCTCAGATTAGGTAAGATGTCCAGTGAATTAAGTAAACGAGAAGTAAGCAATACATTCTTTCAATTAATGGCGCAACTTTTGAAGAAAATGATTTTCCTCCGTACTTAAAATTTTCACCTATATGATTCTCCTTTTGTTCCCTTGTATTACTTCCTTCACGAGGCATCACCTTCTCATCGGTTGTGGCATAATTTATCGGACATCCGTATATTGATATCGAACATATCACCCGCATTTTATGAACTAATCATTTTAAGATGGAATGAAAAATTCTAAAATTTTCAATTACCATTATAAATATATAATGAATTATTCTATCGTACTAACAGATGTTGAATCCATTTTGTTGGTGACACAGATTTTCTTGTCTCTTGATATCTTAGATTGCGAATGAAAATGAAACTTTGTAATACAATACCAAAGTACCATATTACATCCCTCCGGCTTAAAAAAAAAATGAAAATCGAAGACAATAATTTGTGTGAGCTTATTGCAAATGAGAACAAGTATTACACATTCCTTGCACTTAACTCACATTTTACATACATCTTCTAGATTTTCTATTTTTTTGCAAAGACGGTCAGTATTTTTCTTTTCTTTTTTTTTATATATATCTATAATAAGTCTTTTGACACAAGGAGTTTTATAGAAAGATGTAATGATAATTGCGCGATTGTACTTTTTGTAAACGTTTTTTACGAAATATTGTATTGTTTAATATAAGCTAGACGAGCAAGGGGGAAAAAAATTAAGAGTTTATACTGTAATGTACGACATGGCGCGCGTGATTCAACGAATTTTGTAATGACTGATACTATATGTTGGACGATATTGGGTTATTCCGGGTATATTATTGTCTGGACAAAGCATCACTATGACGTGAATGCAGATAAATAATCATTATCTGCTGAAGTGTTGAAAACATACGTGTAAATGTATGACTCAAAGTAACAATCATATTAAATCATCATTTAATATATTAACGTAGTCTTCTCTTTTTTTAAAATGTTTTTTGATTAACTTTTACATTGCATCTTCTATATATTTATTGTGTGTATCCCAGTATTTTTGTCCAATAATAAGGCTTTATTCACACTGTAAGTACATAGGTACACTTTTATGCACTCGCGATAACGTTCCAGTTGCGCTTCAATCCCAGATTATTTAAATATTTTTCAACGAATCGTACACGTAAACGAATAAGAATGTTTACGTTGGTCATACTTAAATCTTGTGATTCTGCTCTTCAATAATGAAAGGAATATATTATAAACGCACCGCTTCTTAGCTCTATCGATAAATATGGATACCCATATGGTCTGCTAAAGTATTCGAATAGACAAGTACAGTAAGTATTTTAAATGCTACATGTACAATATATCTATTTAAATTCTTTATCTGATTCCGGCGTTTCGTGAATATTTTAGTTTATTTCATCAGGGAGGAACAGCCTGGGACCAAGTTGTTCCTTGACAGTATCCTTTCATGTAGTGATTGATCGAGAGACCATCTGTATATGTATACATCTCTGACACAGATTTCTTTATATAATATTATAGATAATATATAATAAATATATAAATATTTATTATATATATAAAAATATGTAAATTTTATAATTGTTGCTAAAATATATATAAAGATGTGTATGTGTATACATATATGTATATGTTTTAGACAAATTGTTCATTAGTTAACAGAAAATTGTGTCCAATAATATCATTTGGAGGATAAAACAAAGGCAACTGGCAGCTCATTATCTATAGTGTGAATAAAGCCCGATTAATCAGCTATCTATAAATCTAGTATTAAAAGGCATTGCTACTGTGCATAAACTTATCGATAATGCAATATTAGTATTTTGAGGAGATTCTAAATGAATTATTATAATATTATAAAGTGCCTTTTTATGCGCACAAGTGCATTTTATATATCATTGAATTTATGTGTTTAGTTTATGCGTTAAGTTGTGTAATTGGTATTAAAAAAATGCGATCTCTGTTTTCTACTCTAATTTTTAGTATTGTTTATTTTTTGACACACGCACGCGCGGACACACACACACACACACACACACACACACACACACACACACACACACACACACACACGACACACACGCACACGCACGCACGCACACATACAACATACATTGTATAACCACGCGTAAATTTTTATAACAAAAAATGAATTAAAAATTTATCAATAAATTTAAGAAGCAGAAATAGATACTTTATTTCGACGATTGAATTCGTTTTTATTGTTGAAACGGCTCTATTTCGAGTATTCGTATAATCATATCTGAATTGTGGACCATTGTGAAATATTGAATTAGAAATTAGGATAAAATTAATTTTTCGACTGCCAAGTATTTTTCTATGATTCCTTTTGCTAATGCAAACGGCTTATCCATGGCGTTAAATGTAGCTTTTGTACTATTATATGATTTTTGCATACTGTAGCTTATAATGTTGCGTACGTAGCGTAAACATTCGCGTGTTAAAGAAATGCCACGTTTAGCAGAACAGGTGCGCAGATATGCTACTCGTACACGATAGCTGTGTTTGTAAAAGTAAAAGAGGCAAAGGCCTGGAGCAAGCCGGTACAACCACAACAGAATGTTCGATACTATTCTGCAAAATGCAGCTCCAATCACTCGCAGCTGGCAATTGAGTAACGTTATTGCTCGCGGATTCATTGGAACGATATTGCCGTTTCGTTGCTCTCGTGCGCCGCACGAGTCGAGAGATAAACGACGGGAGAGGAATCGTTCACGATTCCCGTTTTGCTTTTCTCGGAGACAAGTGACCGACAAGTGCAAGCTTAGTTCTGGGTGCGGGACTCTTGTGGTTGTCATTCGTACTCCCTTCGCCGTGTTGTACCGGCTATCCCGGCTATAATCGGTCACCTTCAAAAAGAAAAGAAAAAAGAAAGCAGTAGCGGACGATACGTTTTCCCAGATTAAAAAGACAATAGAGAGAATGGAAAGATACGGAGGGAAGAGAGGGAGAGATTTAAACCTACGACAGTTTGATTATCGAGGATTGCCAGTGATTGGGGTTGTGTTTTGATCTGTGGTAGCTACGCTCCGGGTCTCGGCCAGTCAGGCGTTGGGCAGCCAGGTTCGGACATGGACTACATGGAGATGATCAGTAACAACGAGTTATCGTCGATCGACGAAAATCTCAACTTGGATCACTTGAACAACTTCGGCTTCGACTTCATGCAGTACAACCAATCTACCAAGCTGCAATAGGAGGTATGCCTACGAGATTAGCCGTCGTCCTCGAGACACGACGGCACATCCGTAATGATCGCCGTTACGGGCCTAATCCCCCGATCTTTCTTCGATCTCTATTTATCAGTCACGCCGAGGCGCACCGGAGGCAATCGAATGCAATTGTATTGCGAATTGTTAACAGGGGAGGGATTATTGATCTATCCTAGAACGATACAATTTTACATATTTTTTTTTCTTTTTCTCTCTTCTCTTATTTTATAACAACCATTTACAGCCAGTGTTTTGTAGCTACGAAAATTGGCTTTCTTATATCTTTAGAGGATTATAGGAAGATTGTTATCAACACTTTTACCTAATATGATACATATGTAATATATCTCTGTTGATCTTGTTCTTTCATACTCAAGTTGCACTGACTGAGCAATACATTCGAGAGCTCTTGTGTAAATCATATGAAATTGTGTCACGCGATTCACTATTAAATAGATCGAAGGTATTCGTGTCTATTTAATGGCTCGAACTGTCGTTACGACAAAATTGTGATTTTTTTTTAAATTAATATAATACCTTTTAATAGAAAAAAGCAATTCTTAGCTTCAGTGTTTTCGTATGTTCTAAATTTATTAATTCTTCTAGTGAGACAACCAAAAATTGTTTTTTCGTATTCGTTTCCATTAATGATTTCATTAATGTTATCGAATTATCTCCTTAAGCTCTTCGTATGTACCATTTTTTTTTTTTGGTAACATTCATCAATGTAATTTAAGTTCTTACACGATGTAAAAGAGAGTTAGTACAAAGATTTATATATTATTGTCTATAACATATGAAGTGCTAAGAGAGTAATTATAGAATTGTATGTCGCTTGTGAATAGCAGATTCTAAGCTACTAAGCAAATACTTATAATATTTACATATAGAAATTGATATAATAATTATTTTTGTTAAATATTTAGATCGTTTTATAGAGAATATTTTAACGAAATAATGTAAATCACGTGTTATGTCTTTTCTTCTCCTTTTTTTTATAATTTGCGTAGTTACGATACCATGGTAACAAATTGGTTTTCATCTTTTGGAGAATTATAAGGAGAAAAACCACTTCTTGCAATATCACTTGCTTAATTCAACTGTTTAGGGTTGTTAGATGATGATCATATAAGAGATTTTTCGAGCGTGCGCTCATAAATTCAATAATGCGTAGACGATCATTTCCGCGAACACCTAGTCAAATTGCCATTGCATGCATTTTGGATTTTGGACGTAGAGCAGCCATGAAAAATGGGAAATCGATTTAATATTTAGTTTCGACGCATTTTGTTTAATTACACGGGAAGGTAAAGTTAAAAGGAATGATAGCGCGTGTTATGTAGATTTAAAAGTGCATTGTGTGATGTAACCTGAAGTAAGTGCCTTGCGCATTTTAAAATTTTGCATTCTGTAATTTTTCGGCAAGTTCTGCAAAGATCTCGTCGATGTGAAAGGAAAAAAGGTTTTAATTAATTTTTAAGTTTTTTTATTTCAGTGATATCTTAAGTTTCTTTAACCTATGTAGTATTTTGTCGAGAAAGAGAGAGAGAGAGAGAGAGAGAGAGAGAGAGAGAGAGAGAGAGAGTTTGTTTCTGAAAAATAATTTAGGGTGTCTTTGCGAAAATTTAGATTGAAATCTTAATAGCAACCTTAGAATTATGTTTAGAATTAAGGAATATTTTTAGAGGTATAAGATAGAGAGACAGAGAGAGAGAGAGAGATAAGGGGAAAAGTAAGGAGACTAATTTTCATAGAGTTAACATAAAATCTCCTTACTTTTTTAACTTAAACTAGCTATAATAACTTACAAGTTATTGTAGGTAATTACTATGGTGCCCTATTCCCTCCCCTGTATGTTTTACAATATAACGTAACACGCATGTTTAAACGCGAAATAAAGTACATTGTAGAACAAATACAGTGGTTCTGTTCATTCTTTTTCTTTCTACTTTAACCGATCGTAATTTAACTGATCCCTATTCGGGTAAAGTACCGTGGCTTTGCGATATATAACACGTGATTTAAGCTTCCGCGTCACCGGTACAACAGAATAATATTTTTCCATCGAAATCTGTCACATCACGAGTAGAATGGCAAAGCACAGGGAAGTAGAACTCGCGGATCTTCCCCTTGATAGGCGGTTACCCATAAAGCTATCCAGCAGCCCGGCTGTTTATTGCTTCAGCTATATTTAGAATAGATTTCACACGACTTGCTCGATGTATATTTCCATATCCGAAATCCCGAGGAGCAAGATGTAAATTCAAGACGTTCTCAATGTTATATCTATGTTATTAATTTAGCCATGATTGAATTGCGGAAGAATGAATTAATAAATATAGTTGACGCAATCGTCTCTACGTCTTTATTTATTGATACAGTCTTCTACTGGCAATATATTATTAGCCTCCTCAAAGGGAAACTTTAGTATACACGAAATAAATATTGACAAATTTCAAGAACGCTATTGCTTTTTTTACTCTAAGATAATTTTATCCGTAAGGTTTTTGTCCCAGAAAATGGGGAACGTTGGCTACTGCGAGTTTTAAATGATGAAAGTAAAGTGCAATTTATCTTCAGCGTACAGCGGACGCTATTTAATCCCAGAGCATTTAAGACGCAGTTGTCGCAGCAGACGAAACATTATCCTGTTTGTCGATTGGGCAAGGACACGTCACGCACGATTCGTCCTCGACATAATGACCAGGCATGGGATAGCTCATGTGATAAACCGTGTCGCCGACCATCGGATACTCTGGAGCTTGATATTTGCCCTTTTGAGCCCACGGAAGTTCTTCTTTTGTTTTCGGCGTCCACGTTTGGTACGATAATTTATTTATCGTCTCGAAGTCGATCTTAATGTCCGGCCTGAGCAGAGATATCGCATCGCAAAATCAATTACGACTTTACAATTCAAAACGGCCGAGCAGACGTCATGAAGAGATTAAAAAAACAGAATAAACAATAGTCTGCGTTAATCAAATGTTGCGCAAACAAATGCACAGTTAAATTAAAGCGAAGTTGAAACAATAAGGAAATCGATTACAAGGTGAAATGAATCTTTTAAAAGCGTCCTCGGAGCACAGAGTTTCCGCCCGAGGAAAACGAGTTTAGCTGCATCACAGACGTCCTTTGGACTATTTAAATTCATATACACGTTCCTCGTCTCTTCTCACCTGTAATATTGCATAACGGGCTTGCAGCTGCGAACAGGTTTTATCACGTCGGGTTTTACGTAAGATAATCCGGTAGTTGTGTCTCCCTCCAGCGGTACGTCGACTGCGCGGATGTTATCAGAGGGGACGATAAGGTCCGGACGCAACGTCGTTTTTGCTACGTATTCGCAACGGGTCGTCGTTTCCGATTGCATTTTAGCGGTCGCCAGCATGGTCTTGGTGCGCGGCATAAACGGCTTTCGCTTTTCGGTCGAGACCCGTTGATAACTCAACTGCGAGATAACGCGTGATGAGAATTACGAGAGTTATAAGTCGCGGCAGAAGCTATCGCATTCTTTTTTATCGCGCGACTCGGGAACAATTACGAAATCGCACCTTGCTAGTCGTATCGCTGGACATTCTCGCGTCGGGAATAGAGATACTTCCGCCGGGAACAAACGGCATCATGCGCTCCGCGCTACCCGGTAGATAGCTCTCCTTGTAGATGGTTTTATCCGCAAATTCCGCGCCGTAAGGAAATACATAAGTCGCGACGGGAACGAAGGGCTTCGCCACGGAGACTGCATCGTTCTCTATATAGCTCTCGGAATAAGTCGTCTTGCCGTACATTGTGATGTCCGGAGGCCTTGAAATATTTGAATTAATATCGTCTTTTATGTTACAGAAAATAAAAGCACCAAAGGGAGCATTTGTATAACCGTTTATCGCGTAACAGGAAAGAAACAGAGGAATTTTGTTAGTTCAATTTTTAAATCTTAATTTTAAAAAATAATATAATCGCTCTGCTATTAATAATTAAAATAATTCTACATATAACATTCAGATTTATATATATTTTTTACATTATGATAATTAATTGTAGAATATGTACATCACTTAATTATTTTTGGATTTACTTTCGTTTCTTATTGTTAATTGATTTCGTTTTTGCCAAGACGTAACACTCCAATTCACGTACTTGTACGTTGGTTTCTGCGCCCAAGGATAAAATTCTCTTTTAACGATGACAAAGGGCTGGTAACTCAGGTTTTGCGTTGTCTCTTTGGAAAGCGGCTGGCTCGATGGACGGTACTTTAATATCGGTTTGAAACTGATTACAGGTTCAATGGGCCCTGGAGAAACGTAGGACAGTCTTGCCAGCGTTCTGTCGTCCAACGGAGCCGAACTTGTGCGAATATTTCCGCAGGGTATAATCATCTCTGGCCTCTCCACGCGTTTCGCCACGTAATCTTGGCGCACCGTCGTTACAGTTTCCATCGTGCCTGTACTCGTCAGTGGTCTAGCAAAATTATTGTATCAATTTCCTCCAAACTTTATCAATAGTCTGTAGGCAATCTTCCAAATTAATCTCAGTCTTATTTTTTATCATAACAAAATAAAAGAAATTCTTGAGATGGTTCCAACTTGAAGACGGCTGAACCGAATGACAAAAAGGAAACATATATGTGCGAATCTTTTTTCGACCTGGGATTTTACGTTTCTAAATCATGACTCGCCATTTCTTGCAACTCAAAGATCTCGATGTATAATCACAGACAAAATCATTCAAGTTCTTTTTAGATATACAGGAGATACGGCGCAACTTTAATATCAACGTGGAAATCCTGTTCGTGCTAAATAAATATTGTACCTCGTCTTGCAATTGTGAATATCGCTGGAATATAATGGCGAAACGTAGATACTTTGTCTTACCTACGTTTCGGCAAGATAGGCTCTGCTTTGATGATCTGCCATACAGGTCTGTAGGATAGTTTGTTTGTTGTTTCGTCGAAAAACTTGCCGGTACTTTTCTGAAAGCTGTGAACGGGCCGAATTGGTTGTAGGCGCGCACAACGCGCCGCTGCGCGATCCACATTTAGATAAGACAAGTGATACGTCGTCTTGTCATCGAGCTGCTTCGACGGCACCTTGTATACTCGCTCCGGTGCAAAGGACTTTGCACGTGGAGGCTGCACGTATCTTTTGTACTGTGGTTAGTAACACAAATGTTTGAGTTACATAAATATTAATAATTGTCAATAATAATATATTGTATATTATACTAGACTATAATATACAATCATGATAATTACAATCAGATATTAACAACTGTAAATTATGAATACATTAATAATTTGCAAGCTATCGATCAAATTATTCTAACGAAAGGTTCAACATTGCGTACAGAGTATCAGTCATAATAGTAAGATTTTTCAGCACTATGTCAAGAGAATTAAAAATAATAGCTTAATTTGTAAAAGGTACATGGATGAAGAGATATTGATGACAATTACTTTTGCCTTGCATGGACACGCCATTGTATTGGTACACGAGTCTTTTCTCTTTGAACAAGCCTCAACAACCTCCATATTGCAGCTTCCCTTTCCGATCCCCTCTCTTATCGTATATATGTACAATGCGCAGTTGCATTAATATTGTTTTGCGTAAAACGTAATAAATAAATGTCAAAACGTTGAAAATAATATTTCGGGGTCAAAGTTTTACATTTTAAAAATCTGATTAAAATACGCCTGACACACGGCTCAGCACTAACTTCGTGTTATCCTTGTCGTAAGATATGTCGTTGTGATATCAGTTTTTCGCACACTAGCGTAGGATCACGTGATTCTACTTCTCTCGCGATACGGCGTGTATTACAAAAGAGAAAATAGGCAAAAATACAATTTCATAAAAAATGCGCTAGAAACTCTACTTCGTCTACGTATTCCAGTAGCAATTTGTACTTGACGTATAACTACGTGAAATTCCTGTTGTCAGTACATACGCGACATGACGTGACATGCGTACTACAAGGATCACAGTTTAATTTTCAAAAATTTATACAGAATTGTAAGTATCTATGAATCGACACCTTGCTGAAAAGCGACTAATGCCACCGTGTCACGCGAAAATGGAAGAAAGAAAATATATTATTTCTATCTTCCAATTTCTAGGCCGTAGCATGACATTAGTCGCTCTCCAGGTATTGATCTATGCACTCCTCTCACGGTACCGATTGGCACAAACTACAATGCGTGTATATATGTACGTGTGCACGTGTGGAAGACACGCAAGAGACATCTCGTACAGTTTGTATCGTTTTCTTTTTTCGTGTGTTCATGGATTATATATTATTTCTATGTGTTGTATATTAAATTCCATTCGCCCGTTTTTACACTTTGTTCGCGCATTAAGCGCATTGAAAGAAACTGTGTTTTAACATTGTATATGTACATATATTTACTGTATACAATATAGTTGTACGAATATCTTGTATCCCGATTAAACTGAGAGAAAGAGATGATAAATACAAGACAGCCTAAATAGGATAACTTCCCGTGTCCTCCCGGTCGATTTGCCGCCGCACTGTAGAGGTAAAACTTAAGAAAGAGAGGTAGAAATGTAGATGGAACTTAGAAAAATAAGTAATAACATTCCTCGCGGCGGAGAGGACGATGTGACTGACACCGATACCACTGACACTTATTCGCGAACACTCTGATTCAAGTCACTCTGATGCTTGTTTTCAACACCAGGAGAAGAACGGACTCTTGTTCTGGAAGCGCTGGGTAAACGTGTCAGAGAACGAAAACAATCTGGGAGCGCCGTTTCCTTTGGCCCTAGGGGAAAAACGATGCGTGAGACTCTGTAACCTTGATTGTACATCTAAAAAATGGAAATGACAAGTAAAGAGTGTATACTTTTCCACGATTACAGCCGGCATCTGTACCAATTGCACGGGGCTTTTAGCGTCTTTCAGAGCCTGTTGTAGATTCAAAATTTGGCCACGCATCACGCTCATTTGCCTATCGAAGTGATGTCGGTCGAAGCCCTTATCTTGCTACGGAAATAGACGTGCAAATTATGCGTGAGATTATAGTTGCTCGAGCAACGAACGAAACGCGACACGTTCCCGTCGAGTGATACGTGCGGTACATGCGTACTTTGAACAGCTGATACAGATCATCGCAGAGATCCTGCACGAAATTCTGGTCCGAGAGTTGCGGCAGGACTAGCTCTCTCGTGACTTCACTGAACGGCTGTTTCGCCTGAGTCAACCATGCCCAGTGGTAAGGGTACGCCCTCCAAGAATCTGGATGCTTAAAGGGAAAGGCCAGGCCGTTGTCGATCGCTGCGATCTTCACCTCACCCTGTTCGGATCCGTTTTTGCTAACGCTAGTATCGTATTTGATCAGCCAATTGTCGTTACCTACAAGCGGGATATTTATCGTGAGGGGAGAAACTGCGCGGCTGACGTTTATCGAGGGCGGAAGCGGTTTCATATCGTTTACCCCTGTCTGTATTTCTGATGATGTAATCTAGAATGACCAGACGTTCGAATTGGAGCTGGAACTCCCGACTCAGGCGCGCCGGCATGGACTCGCTTTCCCACCGCCTCAGCCAGTAATCGGCGTCCTTGTAACCATCCACGAAGACTTGGAAAGAGCCGATCTTCGGCGGTAGCCCGATGCGATTGAAATGCGACCCCACTGTAGGGAACTGGTCCATGATGACTTGCTTCATGCGCGCCTTCTGACGATCCAGACGAGGGTAATTGAACACCTCGCTGACGAGTTTCACCACCCTAGTGTTCGGCACGATGCCGAGGCCCAGCTTGCGGTCGACCAGGCTGGCGCCCGCCTCGCTCAGGTATCCTTGATTCGGGATCAAGCAACTCCTGCCGAAGCAGCACGGACAGCAGAGCTTGTGCATCCACTTGGTCCATTTTGGATTCAGCCTGCCGTAAGGTTCCTCGTCTTTTGGTTTGAACACACCTATGATTTTCTGCCGAGACAGCGGGAAATTACCGTTACTCGCTACGTCACCGTACTATGCTGGCTCGGAAGCGGCAATAGCGCCTAACTTTCTTACTTTCGAGCAGACAAGAAGCTACATCTTACCCCCGCTGGATTTTTGACAAAATAACTCCCGCTGGAACCCTGGTATATCCTCTCTGGGTAAACTCCATTGTCTATCGCGCACTCAGCCTGCCACACCAGTTCCGAGAACTGTGGATCATCTGGTAACATATGCATACATCAAATGGAATTTTCTAGGCGCGATGACAAGTGTGATAAATGATGATTCTCAGAAGGTCACGAAACGATGATGAATCACCAATGTATACACGAGCGAGAGAAAGAGACAGACCTGGAAATCTATTGAACGTGACGTCGAGCTCCAAGCGACCGAGGAGAGGTTGGCTCTCCCGGTCGATCCCGGAGGAATCTATGGCTAGGGTTTGGTCGTTGCTCAGGCCAGGAATGAACTCGACGTCGGGGAGCAGGTCGGCCGGCGACGGCGGCTGCTCGTTCTGCAGCGACACGCGCTGATGGTGGCTGTTGTTGTTGTTGTTGCTGCTGCTGCTGCTGCTGCTGACGGGCGCGATGGATAGGTCCACCAGCGCATCTGTCTCCACCAGTGTGGCAGCGGCAGCGGCGGCGGCGGCGGCAGCTGCGGCTGCTGCGGTGGTGGCGGGGCTGGTATTGTTCTGGCTGTGGTACTCTCGGTAAGGCACGTGCAGCTGCCGCTGTTCGGAGTCGCTCATCACAGACCGCCTCGCTCACGGTGACGACGATCACCCGCGCGCGCGTGCCGCGAGGATCAAGGCTCGACCTCGCTCGCCCGATTATCGGGGTCCTCTCTCTCTCTCTCTCTCTAGCCGAACCAACGGACGATCGTCGCCCTTACGACATGCCCGCGGTGACCGTCTATACCGTCTGTCAGCGACGCGCGCTCGCTCTCGTTTTCCCCCGGTGCGCGTCAGCGTGCGGGGAATGCATTAGCATCGTCGTCGATGCGTCATCCGGATCACACGTATTGTCGCGTACGTAACGTGGCGTGGGTAGGCCAGCAGCAGCAGCACGCGCAGCCTGCCGTCGCGTCGCGTCGCGTCGCGTCGCGTCGGCGGCGAGGACGACGACAGAGCGGCGGCGGGGGAAGAGGGGGATGCCTCTATTGCGATCTAACCCGATTAACCAAAATGCGGCCCGTCATTCTCCAGCGGCGGACGCTATCAGCTGATAGGATTACCGCCATGTTTGCGCGGCACATATGCATTTCTCTTCTCTCTCTCTCTCTCTCTCTCTCTTTCTTTCTCCCCCGCTTCGCTCCCTCCCCGTCATTCTCCGTCTCTCTCTCTCTCTCGTATGATCCCGCATGATCCGCCGCGAGATTATCGTATTCGTTTGGCTACGCCGCGATTGATCCCGCTCGCTCTCTGTCGTCATAAGCTCTTTTTGGCCCGATCGAATTTGAATAATCGCGACAGCGATCGCACAGTGGATTCGCGACTCGCGATGGGAAGGTTATGGCTCTCGCGCGCGCGAGCGGGCGAGAGCCAATCAGCCTCGCGTATGTTCCCGCGCCTCTTTTTCAAATAATGGAATAACACGTCGAATTGTCAATACTTGCTTATCTGCAAGGTTGGGAACGTTATCTTAAAAAACTAACGCGTTACCGTTACCGTTACTTTTTGTAAAAAGTAACTCGTTACCGTTACTAATTTTAAAAAGTAACGCGTTACCGTTACCGTTACTTAGAAAGTAATGATTCGTTACCTTTTTCGTTACTTTGTTGAAATGCTAAAGTAAGATGTTAATTGTAAAATTACATTATTATTATTATTTAATAATCAATATTAAAACTTAAAACTTTAAACTAGTTTCTATATAGCAAGTCATCGAGCATACAGGAGCTCGATTCTTGAATTTGTACGAAGGAGAAACATATGCGAAAATTCTGCTCTTACAGGAAATTTGCAAGTTGATTGGATATACGCGTGGCTTTTGGCCAATCGACTTTCAACTTTTCTGTCAGAGCAGAATTTTCGTATACGTTTCTTCTTTGAATGAATTCAATAATCGGGGCCCCAGAATCAAGACATCGATAAATGTTTACAGCGCATTCTCATGTGACAATAGGCTTGTTTTCTGTTCCTACACTAGTGAACTAGTGCAATAAATTGGAGTAAGACAAGCATATTTTTTCTC